TGATTGCCACAGCCTCCTAAGTGCTAGAGATCAGTTCATGGATAAGAGCATTTGTTGCCTTTCCAGAGGACCCAGGTTTGATTCCATGGGGTTCACAATGACCTGGATCTCCAGTCCTAGGAGATCTGACATCTCTTATGGGTTCCACAGGCACAGATGTGCATACAGGCAAAACACCCATATACATAAAATAAAAATAAATTTAAAGAACTAAAAATTCTTAAGCCATGCAAGTGATTAAGCATTTAGACCTTGTGGGATTGTTTATGCGTTTGGGAATTCATATTAACTGAGGAGCACAGAGCAGTAGCCAGGAGAACGAGTGGGTCTTAGAAGTGACTGGCAGGATTCCTGAAGATGGCCAAGGAGACTACCCTAACTAGGGGCATGGTACATGAAAGCTGCAAAGAGAGGCCCTGTCAGCTGAGGCTTGGTGTGGTGTGGAGAATAACTGAAGGTAGAGACGAACACAGGACCTGAACCCCTGCATCCCTTCCTAGTTACCGCATCAGAGATGAAATGGGATAATGGGCATCAAGTTCCTGGTGTGGGCCTAGTCTGTAGTAACTGTTGCTTTGTGAGACCAGGGGGGAATGTGGCAGCGGGAGAGATCTTCATGCTTTGATAGATGGAAATGAGGGAGGGAGTGAAGCTTTGAACCTGAGGTACAGACAAGATGGTTGTGGTTACTATCTGAGAGCCTCTGCCTGTGGGGAGGCAGGGCTTGTTCTCTGAGGCTCAATGACAGAAAAAAGCTACTGGTCAAAAGGGAAGGCAGCTTTAAGTCTAAGCTTGCCAAGTTATAAGGTCTAGACTTTCTCCGTCCTGCCAGATGGCCTCGAGCTAGGAAGCCATCTGCCAGGGAGTCAGGACCCCTTAACGAGAGATGGAGGTTAGCTCAGGTAGTGACTGCTGCTGTTAAAAGGGGTGTGAGCTCCAAGTAGTGCCACACACAAAGTAGGGAGTAAACAGGAAAGAAATATATCGAGCTAGGCAGTGGTTGTTGAGAGAAGATGGGGAGACAGCCGTGCTATGTGAACTGACAGACTGTGTGGTGAGCTTCTCTTTTTCCTGGGCTAGACTCCAGAGACCTCAAGTACCAATAGTAGAATCCACGAATATTTTCAGAGAAGTAATTTTTGTGTTGGGATGGGTGCCTAGGGAGTGGGGAGCAAGTCCTCTGGGTCCCTTCAGGCTTCACAGTAGTTCTGTTTGGTGTAGGCAACATGTTGCCTGCTGTGCGATTATGTTGTAATTATGAGTGGCGGGGCTGCATCCCCAGCACCCTGGCCGCCTGCTAGCTTATGCCCCGAAATAACAACACACAAACTGTATTCTTTTAAACACTGCTTGGCCCATTTCTATCTAGCCTCTTCTAGGCTAATTCTCACATATTAATTTAGCCCATTTCTAATCATCTGTGTAGCACCGCGAGGTGCGCTTACCGGGAAGATTCTAGCCTATGTCCATCCTGGGTCGGAGCTGCCTGGGAGAGAGGAGGCTGGCTTCTCTGCTCCAGAGAGCAGAGCTGTCAAGTCTGAGCTCACTTCCTCTTCCTCCCAGCATTCTGTTCTGTTTACTCCTCCCACCTATGTTTTAACCTATCAGGACCAAGCAGTTTCTTTATTATAATTAACCAATGACCTTCCTCCATCNAGTCCTCCCCGCTCCATCTTGGTCTAGGAAGGTGGACATCCAAACTGGCTAGGCTCCCACAAAGCCAGAACATGAAGTAGGATCAAAACCCAGTGGCATTGTCCTTGGCATCTCAGCAGCCCTTATTGTCTGCCATATTCAGAGAGTCCGGTTTTATCCCATGGTTTTTCAGTCGTAGTCCAGCTGGCCTTGGTGAGCTCACAATAGATCAGCCCCACTGTCTCCGTGGGTGGGCCCATTTCTAATCATCTGTGTAGCACCACAAAGGTGTGCTTACCGGGAAGATTCTAGCCTACGTCCATCCTGGGTCGGAGCTGCCTGGGAGAGAGGAGCCTGGCGTCTCTGCTCCAGAGAGCAGAGCTGTTGAGTCTGAGCTCACTTCCTCTTCCTCCCAGCATTCTGTCTGTTTACTCCTCCCACCTATGTTTTAACCTATCAGGGCCAGGCAGTTTCTTTATTGCTTAACCAGTGAAATCAACAGATTGATAATATGACACTCCCACATCACCATTAGGGAGTAAGGGGCTTGGACAGAATAGCCTGAGGTATAGAGGAAGTGTCCTAGGGGCCAGTTGTGCTTTTGTGTGTCCCACGAGTGATGGAGGACCAGCTTTAAAACACAACCACTGGCCGGGCACCAAAACCACAGAGAAACCCTGTCTCAAAAAACAAAAAACAAAAAACCACCAAAAAAACCCCCACAACCACTGTAACTCCAGGTCCAGGGCATCTAATACCCTCTTCTGTCCTCCTCAGACATGCCTGCGGTACACTGACACAAGTGAGGCAAACATACAACACTTGAAATCTCTCTCTCTCTCTCTGGTTTTTTGAGACAGGGTTTCTCTCTGACTTTGGAGCCTGTCCTGGAACTAGCTCTTGTAGACCAGGCTGGCCTCGAACTCACAGAGATCCGCCTGCCTCTGCCTCCCACGTGCGCCACCACCGCCCGGCTATGAAATATTTTTTAAAGTAATAATTTAGTGATTTGCACTTCTAAATGGAGTTTTATTCTTCAGCTGCCAATTGTATCTTATTTCAGCCATTTTTCCTTCTGGTAACTTCATTGTTCTGGAATGGCTTACTTTCATTTCCACAGCCTGGGATCTTCTTGCCCAGCCCTTAGGGCCCAGCAGGAGCCTTCTGTCAAGTCTGTCTTGGGTCCCTTTAGGTGCTTTCTGGTTCTGATCTCCAACTCTACCCAGCTGTTGTGAGCCGTCTCTTCTCACCGCAGGTGCCTTCTCATCCATTCTCCCTGCAGCAAGGTCAACACTCTTTGTTTTGAATTAGTGTCACCTACATTTATTTCAGTGCTGTTTCATGGGCACACTCCCTTGTTTCACCCTCCTGACAATCCCACAGTAGGTAGAACAGAAAGTCTCATTTGTGGTTTTGGTTTTTTGGTTTGTTTGTTGATCTCATTGTGTAGCCCTGACTGGCTTGGAGCTTTCTTTAGACCAGGCTGGCCCTGAACTCAGAGATATTGCTTGCCTTTGCCTCTCACGTGCCTAGATTAAAGGCAAGACCTTTTGTGTGTTCTAATAGAGGCAAAGCTGGAAGGCTCGTCTGCCTCCTTTGTGCTCATGGCCCTCCCGGGTACTGTGAAATCCTGTTTCCAGCTTGTTCAAAGTCAGTCACAATTTTGAAGTCCTCCTTTCTAGCCAGTATCTGTTCTTTGGGAATGAAACAGAATAAGAAGTCATATGGTGTCACAGGCCCCTTTGGAAGAAGGAAGGAACATGTGGGTTTTTGATGGTGCCTGAGGTGAAGAGAAGAATGTTATAAAGAATAGACAGACAGAGCGACTCCCAGAGGAATGATACTGTCTCCACCTGTGGTTTTACCTTTTTTTTTAATCTGCTTTAAATGTGTCTGTGTCTGTGGAGGAGTGTATGTGCAGTCACTGGGCTTTGTGATAAGCACCTGCACCGAGGGGGTATGGCTGCCTTTGTTCAACAGAAACAATTTAGCAGATTGCACTTAATGTGGGACATTTCTTCAAGAAAATAACCATCTTGGGAAAAGGGGAAACACATGGATCAGAGTTCAGTCCCAGCGACCTGCATGGTGGAAGCAGAACTCTGACTTCTACAGCTTGTTCCTTGGCCTCCACACACTCCACATGGCACCCGAGTGTACATACACTTGATGAATGTTAAAAACATTTTTTTTTAGCCAGGTAGTGATGACACACACCTTTAATCCCAGCACTGGGGAGGCAGAGGCAGGCAGATTTCAGTGAGTTCAAGGTTAGCCTGGTCTACAGAGTGAGTTTCAGGACAGCCAGCGCTACACAGAGAAACCCTCTCTTAGAAAAAACAAAAAGCAAACAAAAAAAAAAAAAAAACAAGCTGAGCAGTGGTAACACACGCCTTTAATTCCAGCCCTCGAGAGACAGAGAGGCAGGTGGATCCCTGTGAGTTCGAGCCCAGCCTAGTCTACATAGTGAGTTACAGGACTAGCTCCATAGCTACTGAAAAACCCTGTCTGGAAAAACCAAAACCAAACCAAAACAAACAACATTTTTTAATGGCACAGAGTGGGGATGGGGGAGGAGGGAGTTGGGGACACATTGAAAAGTCACTATTTGCTTTTGACCTTAGAGTGTTGAATATATATTCTCCCCCATCTGCTTATAGTCAACAGAGCTAGGTTCCAAGTCCAGTTCTGCATTAACCAAGCAGGGTGGTGACTGCTCTCGATGTAGGATGTTGTAGGGCTGCTGTAAGCAGTAGAGGTGATGGCAGCAGCAGAAGCCGCCCCTGGTGGTGGTTCTCAGATCATGGGCATCCGATCACCTGGGAGACTTCTAAAACTACAGCTTCTAGGCTACTCCCATCATTTCTAATGCACAGAGAATTTGCATTCTGAGTTTCCAGTTAATGCTGCTGCCTGCCAGTCTGTAGTCCTCACTTGGAGTACCATTAACTCTAGGTAACTGAGCAGTGGGCTTTCAGGTACTCTAGACATACCTGAACTGTATGTGCGTAGATTTACTCTGTTAGACTTCTTGCAATGCATTTGGAAATTATGGAATTTAGGATCAAAGGGGTTTTCCTTCTGAAGTTTGGAAGTCCTTGTTACACACATTTGAAGGAGGAAAAATTGTGGAAACAACAGTTCCAAATGAATATTTTATAGATAATCTAACATATCTAGTTGGCTACATATGTGAAATTGCTTTTATAAACATGAGGTGAATTTAAGTCACAATTGAAGCACTATTTTAAATAACTTTGCTTTTAAAATTGAAGTTTATAATGGAGTAGCATATGAAATAGTTTAACTTAGCTTTTCTCACCTCAATATGCTGTTTACTGTATGTATTTTTCTCTTTCCTCCAGGCTGCTGACTTGAGTAAACCAATAGATAAAAGGATATACAAAGGAACACAGCCTACCTGTCATGACTTCAACCACCTAACAGCCACAGCAGAAAGTGTCTCTCTCCTAGTGGGCTTTTCCGCAGGCCAAGTCCAGCTCATAGACCCCATCAAAAAAGAAACTAGCAAGCTGTTTAATGAGGAAGTAAGTAGCACCCCGCCTGAGCTGTTGAACCCCTGTAAGAGCTCTGTTCTTACTCAAGGGTAGTGGGCCTTATTTTACATGTTGAGCCAAGCCATTTTTCATCTGCTCTGCTGTCTTTACCTCGTATTACACCAGTTTAAATGTTGTGGATTAGTGTTCTGAACTTGTTTTTCCTCGAGGTAATTGTTTGTGCATTTGTGCAGAGAATGATCAGCTATCTACAGATACCTTAAACCCTTCTGCATGGGGGTGGGGAGATGCCTCCGTGGGTAAAGTGTGACTTGGGATTTCCAGCACCCACATAAAAGGCCAGGCATGTCTTTAATCCTAGTCTTGGGAAGAGAGACCGAAGGATCCCAGGGATTCACCAGCCAGTTAGTCTAGATGACAGTCAGTGAGCTCCAAGAGACCCTGTTTTGAAGAAGAAAAGATAGAGACCAGTAGAGAGAGCTTCAGGATGTTGACCTCTGATCTTCACAGGTGTGTGCTTCATGCATACATATGCATAAGCACACATCGCTTCAATAATAGAGGCAAGCATATTGATAACTTGAGGTGTGATTTTTGTTTTGTTTGGTTTTGAGGCAGAGGTCTTATTGTGTAGTCTTGGTTGTCCTGGAACTCACTCTGTAGACCAGGCTGACCTAGAACTCACAGAGCTTCTTCTGCTTCTGCAGAACTGCAGGGATTAAAGGTGTGTACTTTATATCCAGTTCTTGATCTTGATATATATATCAATACACATAGCAGGCAGAAGTTGTCAAATAGATTGTACTTATAGTAGATTTTCAGCTCGCAAGTATTACCACATATTTGATAGTCTTTCTCTCCTGTTTTAGCATGACTTTCCTGGAACATGGCGGAGGTGAAGTAGACTCGATGAGGTAGACACTCTGGATTCTAATCTCCACCTTGTTACTCAGCCTTTTATGAATTGTTATTTGAAGGTGGCTTCATGTCAGAAGGACGAGTAGTTTGTCCTGCTGCCTGGTTTTAGTATCATGTTCCTGGAGCAGCATGCTCTCATGTCTAATGTAAGAAGTGGTTTTGGGAAGGGAGAAGAAGAGCCCCAGACTCACACAAAACAGCTGCAGTTCTGATTCTTTGTAGTTCTTATGGCATTTGCTGTCTGCGTGTTCCGTACCATTCTGGGTCCTTTGGGTTTACTAGGAATAAACTTGTCCTCTACATTGACAGCTGAAGAGAAAAGCTATTTGAGTCCATTTCCTTTAAAAATCTTAATCAGAAAAGTATCTATTTACCCAGACGTTTTACTAATGTCGTTAGAGGAAGTGATTTCTAAGTAACTGGGTGATTTTTGTCTGTCTGTCTGTCTGTCTGTCTGTCTGTCTGTCTGTCTGTCTATGTTGATGAGGACTGGGAAAGATGACCCAAAGTTACTCTTCTGCATTGTTAACAGAAACTGCAGTTGGAATCATTATGGGGTTTTGCTTGTGTTTGGGTAGAAGAGCGTGTGATGGACTGGGAGTGGATTGAACCCCGTGCCAAGCTGTTGGTAAACAAGACCCAAAGGCAGTTCTGACAGAGGATGGCACAGAATGCCACTTAGAGAACAAGAAAGGTTTGTGTGTTGTGTTGGGGGAGGGTGGGGGAGTTAGAGTCCACATGACTCTGATGGCCAGACCCCTTCTGTCCTGGTGATGGAGCTACAAGATAGAAAGCAGATCTTCCCTCTTCATGATGTAAGCACAAGTTCTTGCCTACTCTTTGATTGCAGCTGAAGTGGCAGAATGTGAGACTGTTGCAAGCTTTAATGCCAGGTTGGCATTTGGAGCTCGAGATTGAAACCAAGTACCCTTCACAAGTGTTTGGTGGTGTGAATCCATTTCTCCCAACCACAAAGGCTGCACTTCTCAGAGTGCCAGAGATGTTGTAAAAAGATGTCCTTGTGCTACACTCAGCGTTGGTGTGAGAGTTAGAGGTTCCTGTTACTTGTACATAGGAGGGTGGACGGTTGGTTTTTACTTTATGGATGAAGAAATCTGCAAAGAAATGCTAAGTCCACATCAGCAAGTTCATAGCGTTATCATGATATTGCTGGAACCTGAAATTAATTCCAGAACCTTCCTGGTTGTAGGCTTGTAAGCCCCACCGGGTGTGGTTGCCAGTTTGACCTTGCCTTCTTAGCAACTCAGTTAGAAGGATGGACAGGTAGAGTCCAGGCATGGACTCATCAATGGTACTGATGGGATACATGTTACTTGTGTTTTTGGTTGTTTTGAGACAGAATCTCATGTAAATCAAACTGGCCTAGAGCTCGCAATATAGACAGGCTAATGAACTCATAAAGATCCATCTGCCCTCCTTTCCAAGTACTGGGATCAAGGGTGTGTACCAGTATACCCAACATGTGTATTCTTGAATATGTCAAATAAAAAAGTTTATAGATTCATTTATTTATGTATTTACTTATTTTATATATATATGGGTGCTTTGGTTACATACATGTCTACATACCACATTCATAGTACCAAGGAGGCTAGAGGTTATCAGACCCCTGGAACTGAAGTTACAAACCATTATTAGCCACCATGTAGTTGTTGGGCGTTGAATTGATCCTTTACAAGCTCTTAGCCACTGAGGCATATATCTGACTCCCTTTCACCCCCCACTGGTATTTTAAATTTTTCTTAAAAGTCAGATTTATCTGGAAACATGGGGTGGCTTACTGAGAGGCTGAGGTAGGAGGATCACTAGTTTAAAGCCAGTCTGGACTTCACAGAGATCCTGTATCAATAGAAAAAGAAGAATTGGAGAAATTTAGTGAAAGGGTCTGAGAAGTACTTGCAGAGTACAGCACTGGTCTAGATCTTGAGGGCACTTGTAAGGGTAGGATGAAGGCAAGGATGCTCTTTAGAAGAAAAGGAATTAGGCATGGTGTTGCATGCCAGGAAGCCAGCCTGGGCTGCAGAACAAGACCCTGTTTAAAAACAGACAAACAAACGAGAACAAAAAAGTTGGAAAGAAAACAATTTGGCATTTTCTGGAGCATCAAGTGACAACATAATCAAGTCACTGGGTGGAGTTGGTGGTAGTAGCAGAAGTCATCACCAAAAAGAGGAATTAAAACCAAATTATTCATGTCATGTGGAGAAACTTGGACTTAACATGGAGACTGTAGGGGAACTTTAGGCTTTTAATCAGGGGTCAAATGTGTTTTTTAGAACTCTTGTCAATTTTAGAAGGTTAGATTGGACTGAAGGAAGAGACCAGTGAGAAGGCGCTAGTGAGTGTCAGGTGAGGGCTGGGGGCTTGAACTAGACTTGGCAGTTCTTACTTGTTCAGCATACCATGAGCACCTGCGGGGCTGTGTGTGCCGCATGCCACCCTTTAGAGGAGAGGGGTATAAACAGCACCCACACATGCTAGCGGCCACAGATGGTGACCCACTGTGGTGTGGGAGGAGAGTGCAGACTGCTTTAAACTGGCAGGTGAGAAGCTGTCTTAGAGGAAGTGGTGTGTTTCAAGCTGAACCTCCTAGGAGGAGGCCACCAAAGGAAGGACTAGACCGGAGGCAAAGACAAATCATTCTCTTGAGTTCCAGGACAGTCAAGGCTACCTAGAGAAAACCTTGTCTTGAGGGAGAGGGAGAGAAGGAAAGAGAAAGGGGGGGAGAGATATCCTATGGAGAGAACAGAAGCACAGTCAGATTGTCATGAGGTGTTTTTAAAGACTTGTGTGTGTGTGTGTGTGTGTGTGTGTGCGCGCTCGCACATGCGCGCGCGCGTCTTTTCTCTGTGCACATAAGTGCAGTGCCTCATGAGTCCAGGAGAGGGCTTCAAGCTCTCTGGAGATGAGTTAGAGGCAGTTGTGAGCTGCCTGACATGAGCAGTAGGGGCACTTAACTTCTGAGCTTACTCTGCAGCTCCCAGGTTGGTGTTCAGGGAACTTACTGTGGAGGGAGATAGTAACAAGTCTGAAGGTGCTGGCTGCTACTGCATTGTGTGAGACTGAAAAGGGGGCAGGGCTCAGTAATGGAGGGAAAGATAGAGGCTGCATCTTGTATTTGGTTCATTTCAAAGATCCGCACATGCTTGCAGGTGTGCATCTGAAGGGCAGGTTGGTTGTTAGGTAGGGATACTTATGGGCAGGGTGTCTCAGAAAGTGCAGGTATTGCTGCCAAGCTGGATGACTTGAGTTCCATCCCTTCCACACATACATACACTGGACGGACGGACGGATGGATGGGTTAGAAATTTTAAGGAGGGATAAAAATTTGAATTGCCAGTTTGTAATCACAACTCTGAGATCCCAAGCAAGGGTCTATGGGGGGAGAGCTAAGAACAAAAGAATGCCTGAGACTGAACTGATTGTACTCCCAAGACTGTGGCCCTCTCATCCCATTCTGCAAAACATCAAATGGCCAGTTAATGGCCCAAACCCAACACAATTCAGTAGCACCAAGAACACAGACTAGAATAGACTAGGGTTTAGAAGAACACTCCATTTGTTTGCTGTGTGTCTGTACCTTACCTCTCTTCAGCTGGCAAATGGCAAGAACAGTACCTGCATAGCTGCTTGTGGAGCGGGAACAGGGCTAAGTAGTGAAGAAAGCGCCTAAGTGCTGGTCCAGTGTTGAACAGTCTTCAGAGCAGGGAAATGTCAAGGCTTCTTACTAGTAGGTGGGATTGGAAGGAAAGGCTTTCTTGGGAGGCTAGACACTGTTTTGAAGGATAAACCTTCCTTTTTTTATTTTTAAATTTATTTTTCTAATTTTGCAGGGCAGAAATTCCTTTTGCCTGTCAAAGCCATGTGGTCTCTTTCTGTCTTCCTCACTAGTTCTCTCTGCTCACCCACCTGCTCCATCCATTCATGTGCACACACTTGCATGCCCCATTTCTAATGTCTGGTGCTGGTACATGAAACTCAGATGTATGAAGAAAATGGAATTGTAAGTTCTTGATATGTGATGTAGATAAAGAGAGATGAAATTTTTATATCTGGAAGGAAGTATATTTTTAAAGGTGATTTTTTTTTTT